GGAGAACAGGCAGGAGCTGTGCTGGCACCAGCAGTGAARAGTCCAAAAGCCATGTGGACAAACTGACCGTGCCCAGGCCCCGTGAGCGCACACTGTGCCCATGCCCCTGATCTGTCCCTGGCATGGGACAGTGACAGCTCACACCGGGCTCCCTCCAGCACCAAAACAGCTCCAGCTCCCCGCTGCAAACGGGGCTGGAAACRGGGCTGGAAACACCTTCAAGCCGTGGACAGGGAGGGAGGATCCAAGTGGAAGAGGAGCCGTGCCAGAGCCGAGTCATTCCTCATGATCCCAACATTTCAGGTGTGTGCAAAGGGCTGCAGAGAAAAATCAGCCTAAGGTCTGTTCCTTCTCCTGGAGGGGAAGTGTTTGTAGGATTAGGGCATATTTAGACATGGCAGAAATGGGATTCCTAAACAAAGGGCTGGGGGAGGTGAGTCCCGCGCTGCAGCCACCGCTCCCACCACGCAGAGCATTTCCAGATTCGCTGCCTACCTGCCTGYGGGAGTAAAACTGTCCAGACCCACTGCCCAGCACTCCAAACTTCCATTTTAGGAGCTGGTGGAAACAGGGTGAGGCCTTTCTAATCCCCAGCCTTTTCCCAGAGTGGGAGAGGGGCTGAGAACACGCTGCTGCCTGCTCGGGGCAGGGCTCACCCCAACCCCCGGAACATCCACAGGAACAAATCCACTCCTGATCCTGCTGCAGGATCCACCTCGAGCACCTCACCATGGCCAAAATCCCAGCACCAGCCCAAGCTGCTTCCCTGCCTGCTGCATTTCAGCTGGGCTCCTTCACCTGCCCGTGCTTTAGGTTGGTCACGGGATGGAGCCTGTTCTCCTTTAATGGCCACGGAATAAATCTGACTTAAATGCTAAATTGCAGCATGGAGAGCCATTGATGCAGATTCACTTTGGGATTGTGCAATTAGCAGAGGGGGAATGCAATCCTTGGAGTAAATTCCTTCCTATGGAAGGAATCAGGGCAGGCTGAGGAAAGGTGTCAGAGCCAGCTGTCACACAGTGACAGGGCTGGGCCAATGAAGGTTTGGCCTGAGTTTAGGAAATAAAGATGTGTGATGTCAGATTGATGCCGTGGAGTGAGGAAGGGATGCTGCTGAGGATTTTGGGTGCTGGAGGTGGAGAGAGAGCCCTTGGAAAGCTCCCCATGGTTCTGTGTGTCTGTGTGTGTCTGTGTGTGTCTGTGTGTCTGTGTGTGCTCAGCTCAGCCCCGTGCTCGTGTGTGGAGTGAGCTGCAGATGCAGGGAGTGTTCAATGCTGGGCTTGGCTCGCAGGGCTGGGCTTGGCTCGCAGGGCTGCACACGCAGCTTTTCTATTCACGCCCACCATCAGTTTACAACCCCTGGCTAAAGCCCCATCCCCTCTGTGGGAAGGTTTGGCCTGTGGGGGACATTAGCACGAAGGCGAGTGGGAATGTGAAAGAGCTCTCTGTGTGAGAGCAGCTCCATCCGCTGCGGGAAGGACCGTGGTTTTTCCATCCCTTTGGCTCGGAGGTGTCTCGGTGCCATGAGCTGTGCCCGAGCTGTGCCCTGGTGAGCCAGCGGTGCTGCCATCGTGCCAGCGATGGGCAGGGACCCAGCCCAGCCCGGGCAGATGCTGCTCTCACACACACACTGAAGGTGTGGGGCCTCAGCTCACAGCCCGGCGCTGCTCCCGCCCCTGCAAAACTTAATTGTTTTCTGCAAAGAAAAAAATCATTTGGGGAATAGATGGAAAAAGGAGATAGCGTCAGGCAGTCATGGCCTGTTCTCCACCTGTTGTTATTTTGGTCTGGCCCAATCAACCTGCTAGCCAGGCTGGAGCCAGCGACCATCTGGAAAAACTGCCGTGTTTATAAAACTGACATGGAGCAGCACCCCAGGGCCCTGACCTCCCACACAAATCTGGAAATGATTAAAATGGCCCTGGCTGCCTCGGCGGCGCGGAGCTGCCTGCCGAGAGCAGCCCACCGCCTGCATTTGGAGTTCTCATCATCCCAGCGGCGCTGGGAAGGCGCGTCCTCCCCCCGCAGCCGCCCGGAGCCCGCGGCCGGCGCCTCGGGATGCTCGGGGGAGCGGAGCGCTGCAGCTCATCCATCCCCTGCGCCTGTCCCGCTCCATCCCCTGCTCCTGTCCCGCTCCTGTCCCGCTCCATCCCCAGCTCCTGTCCCGCTCCATCCCCTGCTCCTGTCCCGCTCCTGTCCCTCTCCATCCCCTGCCCCTGACCCGCTCCATCCCCTGCGCCTGTCCCGCTCCATCCCCTGCTCCTGTCCCGCTCCATCCCCTGCTCCTGTCCCGCTCCATCCCCTGCTCCTGTCCCGCTCCATCCCCTGCTCCT